GTCTGGGGGCTCCCGGAACTCGGCAGAAAATCCTACTCAGCAGGCGGGGTGGGGGAGGCACTGCGGAGTGGTGGGGGGCGGCCCAAGGGGCTGGGAGAGGGTCCGGCCCACGCTGCGCCTGGGCTGGGACTGGTCCCGCCGGCGCAGGGTAGCAGGTAGTTCTCCACACACTCACCGGACCTGGGCTAGGACTGGGTCTGGGGGCTCCCGCAACTCGGCAGAAAATCCTACTCTGCGGGCGGGGTGGGGGAGGCACTGCGGAGTGGTGGGGGCTGGCCCAAGGGGCTGGGAGAGGGTCCGGCCCACGCTGCGCCTGGGCTGGGACTGGTCCCGCCGGCGCAGGTTAGCAGGAAGCTCTCCGCACACTCACCGGACCTGGGCTAGGACTCATTATCTATTTTTTTAAAAACGATGTTTTTCCAAAATATCTTCTTAGAAAATGAATTGCCTGAATTATTAAGACACTTTTATTTCACATTGTTCAGAAAGTACACCTCCTGAAAAAAAAAAATCTATTCAGCAACATGTGACACTAATCCACTAATAGACCCTGGATAAGAAAGGAAGAGAAAAACAAAGGAAATGCTATTTATTTTATAAGTTTCCTTTATATACCACTGAAACCCAGTGAAAAATGATTTAATCATTCTTTTGATTCCCTAGATTTTATTTATTTTTATTTGTTTTTTGAGACAAGGTCTTGCTATGTGGTTTAGGTTGGGCTTGAACTCACTATCCAGCCCAGGCTGGCCTTGAAGGATCCTGCCCTATCCTCCCAAGTGCTGAATTATAGGCATGCACTACCCTGCCTGGCTGATTCACCAGCTTTTAATGCAAACAGAATAAATACTGACGCTACCTGAATACATGAGAGCAAAATCAATTACCTTTACATTAGCACTGCTTATGCATCAGCTGCAGCCTCGTGGCCTCGTATGGGTCTCAAGGCCTTTCCCTTTCTACAACGCCTGAGTTTGAAATGTGGAACTAACTATATTGTACTACCTTCAAAATCAGCAAATAATCACATTGCACATAACTTTCAACTTTATAAAGCAAATTAACAATGATAAAACATGGAGTTTAAGACAATGCTACTATTTGAATGTATTTCTTATTCCCCATAAAAATGTAACCCAAATCTTACCATGATAAATATCTTGTAAAGAACCACCTCCACAAAATTCCATGCAAATCCAAAGTTTATCTCGCCTATAAAGAGAAAATATGTACATATCATATCTTCACAATTAAAATTGTTTGAGGTACTATGTCTCTGAAGGTTGTGTGCTCTAACCTTGAAAAACCACATAAATGTAAGGTGTTATCTTAAAAAGAAGCTAATTAATCTCAATGAGTAAATTGTAATATAATATGTTAGTATATTTCAACCTAAGATTTTAATACTTAAAATACAGCATTTTAAGATTGACAGCTAACATCAGACACATACAAAAAATGAAGACTTCTCTTTAGGTAAAACCTGTTTCTTCCCACAGTTTATCCAGCTACCCAGATTCATCACAAAAAATGGCAACATATTTCAAAGTGTATCACTTTGACAGCATTCTCATCAACAGACAAAATATAAATGAGATGCTCATATCTAGATTCAACAGTGATTTTCCCAGAATAATTATTAAAACTGATCATTTATTTTCAGATAGTTTCTCTTATATCCATTCTAGTATATTGCAATCAAAATCATAGGATGAATACTTAGTGCAAAGATTTCTATAGCTTATTTCTCTGTTCATTCCTTTGTGCATTCATTATTTTATCAAAATTCATCAAGAAATATATCATCCTCAGGCCTGAACTCACTAAGCTCTGTCTAATGCAAAAGGAAGCTTCTGCCTTACTAACATATCTCTTTTACCACTGTCTTCACAGTACCTGTAAGAAAATTCAGCAAATGGGTACTTATTCCATATGTGAATGGACACACGAATGTTTAAGGAATAAACAAATCAATTATAAGAGGGATCAGCAAAATATGGCTAGTGGGCCAAATCTGGCCTGCTACCTGATTTCACACAGCCCTGGAACAATGAATTATTTTTACATTTTACAAATCTGCACGTCATCCTCGTGCAGGGGCCAAGCTAATCGTCTCTGTATCGTTCCAATTTTAGTATATGTGCTGCCGAAGCGAGCACTATTTTTACATTTTAAACAATTATCAGAAGAATACTTCTAGACATGTGACAATTATAAGAAATTGAAATTTTAATGTTCATAAAGTTTTACTAGACTATAGTCACACACATTTATTTATGAATTCTCTAAACTATTTTTGCACCAAAACAGCAGAGATAAGTAGCTGTAACAGAAACAGCATAGCCCACAAAGCCTAAAGTATTTACTATATAGCTCTTTCTAGAAAACATGCCAAACTTTGGATTAAATTCTAAATTGACTCATACATAATTCCGGCATGTATAAGATGCTATGAGAAACAAAAGATGAAAACACTTAGGAAAATCAAGGAAAGGTCTTTCCAAAGAGATAACATTTGAATTTGGTCTTGAAGATAGAGAAGGGATTCTCGAGGGAGAGACAGGACCTATGAATGGAAGCTTGAAAGAAGATGGACATTTGAGAGACTAGATAATTTAACATGAGTTAAACAAAGACTTTGTGGAGAGACAAAGATCAGAGATGAAGCTAGACAAAGGTCACACCAGGAAAAGATGCATGACTTGCCGACTCCTCATCTAGATGATTACCCAGTTGTCAATGTCTCTGAAAATGTGGTGCCCACAATCAAGCTGCATACACAGTGCACTAAAGATAGAGTTGCTGGTATCAAGAGTGGGTCACATGCAGTGATGGTGGTTGGATCAGGTGACCTGACTTTTGACTGGTGCAGCAGACCATGAAGCATACAGCAGGGAACACAAGCTGCCAAAGTGCTACAGTCAGCTAACCTGAACATACAGAGTAGAGGCACCACAGTGCTGGAAGAGAAGGCTGAAGAGAGTGGTCACCCGCAAACATGAGACCACTTAAGCTCTACAGTTCAGAGGCAGATCATATACAAATGGCACTGAGGCATAGCAGATGATGTTAACATTTCTGTTATAATTTCTAATATGCTAAATATCAACAGATGCAATCCACAAAACTATGAGCCTAGTGGTCTAGTTTTAAAAATTCTCAGAATGGACATCTGGAGCTGGCAGATATTTAATTTTATCTAAAAGGAGCAAAGTACTTACGAACTAGTGATTGCTACACTAAGTAATTAAATCTCTCAGGGACTCTTAACATGAATCTTTATTCAAACATCATATTTCTATCAACTTAACTGAAGGCTATCGTTAATTTCTTAGAAACTACACTGAATTACTAATTTATAGTTTGTAGTTAACTAAAAATATTTTTTGTATGTGCAGCAATCAAATTAGTTTTCTCTCTAGCTTCATACCTGTATATATGGTTCACTAAAACTAGCTGAAGGGCCTGTCCTTACCTATTAATTCTCATCCTTAAAAAAAATTAACTTTGACTTACGCCTCTTACTTCTTCCATGCACCTTAGCAGGCTACCAGTGTATCTTTCAACATGCTTCAGCGCAGGGTGGCACATGCTGGCATTAGGCTTGCCTCCTAGGGGCAGTGAGCTAACAGCTTTAGGTGTGCTAACTGGTCATCCCCTCACACATGCTCCAGAAGCAGCTCGTAAGCATCTGAAAGAGCCTAATCGGAACATACACACAGCAATCACAGGGGCTGGTTTACAAACTATTTTAATTTTTACTATTAAATTTACTAACTAGTGTAACCTCAGAAATATTCTTTGGGGCCTGGGAGATAGCTCAGTAGAGTAAGAACTTCCCTGGCAAGTGCAAGGGCCTGAGTTCAATCCCCAGTTCTGCAAAAAAAGAAAGAAAGAAAAGAAATATTCTTTACTGGTGACATGAATTATGTTCAATTATGTAGATTACGTCCACTCTGGTGAATCCAGTAGCCAATATTCTCTGGAATAACTCAGGCTCCAATTTTGTATCTGGAGTACAGGATTCCATTTCTGGTGTCTCTAGCTGAATTCTTTCTCTAGAACAGTGGTTCGCAAACTGTTGGTCTTCCTGCCTCAGCTTCTTGAGTGCTGGGATACAAGTACACACCACCATACTTGTTGGCTGCTGCTATTCAATAACTCTTAAGAAAGTGAAATAAAAGGGGCAATAATACCAAAATATTTAAGAACTATTCATTGCCCTAAAATATTTTCACAACTGCCAAAGTTAAGTCTTCCACATAAAATACATGCTCCATGTACTTAAGAAACAGGCAGCTGAGACTACACATATCCTACAGTAACTCCCAAAATGAATGACTGTTTCAAAATCAGTTTAGGATTAAATGACATTGTAAATTTGAAGCTCTGGGAATATAGCACAATTAATGTCAAACTGCTTCCCACTGCTTCTGTTATAAGTTATCTTGAACTTGACAAAGTTTATTTTAAATAAATAAAATCATGTTTTTCTTTTATTCAAAAAAATCTGTTTTTTAATTTTT